CAACCACTGCGCCGCCAGGGAAGCCCAAGAGTTAATGATTAAACACAGTATCTGAGATAGTATCAATGTGTGAAAGTATCAATGTGTGGATATTAACAAATTTTTTTTTTTTTTTTTTTTTTTTTTCTGTATACGGGCCTCTCACTGTTGTGGCCTCTCCCGTTGCGGAGCACAGGCTCTGGACGCACAGGCCCAGCGGCCATGGCTCACGGGCCCAGCTGCTCCGCGGCACACGGGATCCTCCCGGACCGGGGCACGAACCCGTATCCCCTGCATCGGCAGGCGGACTCTCAACCACTGGGCCACCAGGGAAGCCCATATTAACAAATTTTTTTAAACATAAACCTTAAAGATATAGATTACTAAAGATAATTATTTTAGTTAAAAAAATAATCTATACTCATAATATACATTTCAACAGTTAAAAAGGATTAGAGGGGCTTCTAATTTGATTATACTTTATTATATATCTATCCATCACGTTATCCATCAATATATCTTATTTTTTGATACATTTCAAAGTAGGCTGCAGACATCAGCACACTTCCACCTAGCTACTTCAGCATGCATAAAAGTAACAAGAATTAAATATTAGTTTACAGTTAACTTTTTTTTTAAAGTAAAATTTGCATGCAGTGAATTGCACAGATTTTAACTGGACCATTCCATGAGTTTTGATAAAATTTACATTGGTGTAACCCAAACTCCAATCAAGATAGGAAACATTACTATCACCCAGAAAGTTCCATCATTCCCCTTCCCACTCAACCCCATAGGCAAAAAGATGTTCAACATTATTAGGGAAATGTAAATTAAAATCACAATGAGATACCACTACACACCAATCAGAAAAGGTAAAATAAGAAATTGTAATAACACCAAATGCTGGTGAAGATGTGGAAAAATTGGATCACTCATGAATTGCTGGTGTGAAGGGAAAATGGTATGGCTACTCCGGAAAAGTAGAGCAGTTTCTTTACAACACGAAACATTCGCTTACCACATGACTCAGCAATTGTACTCCTGGGCATTTACCCCAGAGAAATGAAAATTTATGTGCACACACCAACCTGTACATGCATGTTCATAGCAGCTTTACCTGGGATAGCCCCTGTGATATTGTGATTGATAAGATATATATATATATATATATATTTATATACACATATTTGGATATTCAGATGACCAAAATATATTTCTCATATATATGTGGTTTTAGTCCACAGTTCCTGGCTCACAGCTTCCAAAAGCCTTGTAATTTCCTAAGCGTTGACAGTGATAAGTGTGTCTTTTGTGAATGAAGTGACTTTTAGAAGCACCTAAAGATCAGGGGCCTGGTTGCCAGGAGAACCAACCAAGTGATTAGAGGGTTGGAATTTTCAGTTCCCCTCCCTGATTTCTGGGGAGGAGAGAGGAGCTTGAGGTTAAATCAATTGCCATTGGCCAGAGATTTAGTCAATCATGACTATGTAATGAAGTCTCCATAAAAACCCCATTTTCGGAGAGCTTCCACAATGGGAAACCAGGATGCTTCCATGTGCCACCATGCTGGTCCCCAAGCTCCATGAGGACAAAAGCTCCTTTGTTCAGGACCTCACCCTATGTATCTCTTCATCTCCATGAGGACAGAAGCTCCTTTGTTCAGGACCTCGCCCTATGTATCTCTTCATCTGGGTTTTGAATCATATCCTTTAATATACTTTTATAATAAATCAGTAATCTAGTGAGTAAATGGGTTTTATTGAGTTCTGTGAGCCGTTCTAGCAAATTAATTAAACCCGAGAAGGGGGTCATGGGGACCTCTGGTTTATAACCAGTCTGTCAGAAGCGCAGGTGACGACCTGGACTTGCACCTGGAAGTGGAGGGTGGTCTTACACGTGGAATGTAATGCTATCTCCGGGTAGATAGTGTCGGAATTGAGTTGAATTCTCGAAAACCCTGCTGGCATCCGAAAATTGCTTGCTGGTGTGGGGAAGCCTACACACACACACACACACACGTTGGAATTTGAAAATTTTCAGCCCCAAAGTGGAAACAACTTAAATGTCCTTCAACAGGTTAAACAAACTGGCACACCCATACCAAGGAACAGGACTCAGCAACAAAAAGAGAAAAGCTACAAACTACAGAGACATATAGTACCTTGGGTGGACCTCAGGGGGTTATGCTGAGTGAAAACAAGCCAATCTGATTCCGTTCATACAGCCCTCGTAAAATGACAACTATGTGAACAGATCACGGTTGCCAAGGGTTAGGGAAGTGGGGAGGGAGGGAGGGAGGTGGCTATTGCTACAAAAAGGGCAGTATGAGGGATCCCTAAGCTGGAAGCATTCTGTGTCTAGACTGTGGTTGCGGTGACATGAGTCTACAGGTGATAAAATTATACGGAATTAAACACAGACACACAAATGTGTGCATATCAAACTGATGAAATCTGAATGAGGTTGATGGATTGTATCAATGCCAATTTTCTGGTTGTGTTATTGTACCAGACACGCAAGATGTCACCATTGGGGAAACTGGATGAAGGGTATATGGAATCTGTATTATGCCTGACATTTGTGTTTAAAAAAAAGGGGCATTTCTCAAAGCATACACAAAAAAGTGAAGAGTGGGAAAGGGAGAACTCTTCACTTTTCATTTCACACCTTGCTCTGTTTTTTGTTTTTGTTTTACCACATGCATGCAATACTTTGTTGTCTTTAATTACCACTTGTGTTTTGGTTCTGTAAAAAAATATCACTTTTGGGACTTCCCTGGTGGTCCAGTGGTAAAGAATCCACCTTCCAATTCAGGGGACGTGGGTTTGATCCCTGGTCAGGGAACTAAGACCCTACCTGCCGTGGGAAAACTAAGACCACGCGCCACAACTACTGAGCTCACGTGCCTCAGCGAGAGAGCCCACGTGCTGCAAACTACAGAGCCCACGGCGCCCTGGGGGCCGCACGCCATAGCTAGAGAGAAGCCTGCACACCACAATTAGAGAGAAACCCGTGAAGCTGGCGCACTGCAACAAAGACACACGCAGTCAAAAAAAAAAAAAAATATATATATACATATATATAATTTTAAAGAATTTTACCTAAAAAAGTTGTGTTTTAGAAGCATAACATTATTTGGTAAGCTTGGAATTTGAATTACAACACAAGGAAGTGGTTCAGTATTGAATTCTGAGCATTGACATAATTGCAAATTTTATATTACAACTGTTGATCAGGAGAGGAGAGGAAGCAACTAAGTATGAAACGGTTTAAATTATAGAAAAGAGTGTTCCTTAATTGAAATAAAATATAGCTGCATTTGGAGGCTTTTCCTTTTCTCGCTGTGATGGTTAGTTTTATGTGTCAAGTTGACTGTGCTAACCGATGCCCAAAGAGCTGATAAAACATAATTTCTGGGTGTGCCTGCGAGGGTGTTTCCAGAAGAGATTAGCATTTGAATCCATAGAAGAGGTGGTTCTCACCAATGCGGATTTTCATCATCCAATCCATTGAGGGCCCGAATAGCACAAAAAGGCAGAAGGGAGAATTTGCTCTGTTTGAATGGAGACAGCCATCTTCTCCTTCCCTCGGACATTGGCTCTTCTGGTTCTCAGGCCTTTGAACTTGGACTGGAACTGACCCCAGCTTTCCTGGGCCTCCAGCTTGCAGATGGCAAATGATGGGACTCCTCAGCTTCCGTAGTCATGTGAGCCAATACCTCACAATAAATCTTTCTATATATTTATAAACATCCTATTGATTCTTTTTGGGAGAACCCTAATATAATCATTTTTTATTCTATTTGGCATAAGTTCAGACATTAAAATCTAGATCACACGTGCTAGGGATTAGTCTAGAAATTGTCTCATTCCTTCAGTGAAGATTAAATTCTTCTATTGGATTAGAAAAATAGGATGCTAGGACTTCCCTGGTGGCGCAGTGATTAAGAATCCGCCTGCCAATGCAGGGAACACGGGTTTGAGCCCTGGTCCAGGAAGATCCCACATGCCATGGAGCAGCTGAGCCCGTGCGCCACAATTGCTGAGCCTGTGCTCTAAACATGAGCCACAACTACTGAGCCCACATGCCACAACTACTGAAGCCCACGCACCTAGAGCCCGTGCTCAACAAGAGAAGCATGCGCACCGCAACGAAGAGCAGCCCCTGTACGCCGCAACTAGAGAAAGCCCGCATGCAGCAGTGAAGACCCAACGCAGCCAATAAATAAATGAATGAATGAATGATTAACTGTAAAAAAAAAAAAAAAGAGTACTACTCTTAAAAAAAAGAAAAAGAAAAATAGGATGCTAGAGCCTTTAAAGAAAGCGTGGCCAGGACTGGGAAATCTGCCTCTACAATAAGAGATTATACCACATTAGTCTGGGATGACAAAGAAGTCCAGACCCTATCGAAACACAAGGCATTCTGATGATCGTACAGTGGGCACAGAAAGAGCAGGGACTTTGGATTAATAACTGGGGGAGTGGGAAAGCTATTGGTTTGTGTGGGAGGGAACAGGGGTCATAATAGGCCGGGAGAAACGCCTGAGTTTTCCTTGGGATCCGCTTTGTGGGTGAGGGGAAGGAACCATAAGGGGACGAGCAACGTCTTCAGGCCATGGCAGCTCCGGCCAGTCTCCTTGCCTGGCCTTGTCCTGGTTAGAGTAGCTGGACCCCGTTTACATATCTGGATGCAAGCTCAGTCATGCTCTGGCTCCCTCCAGCCTTCATTCCCCAGGGGATTCTGGCCCCAGCCCTGTCTCAGGCACCACGGCTGGTCAGAAGACAGTGCCCAACTGGTTAGGGGCAAAATCCATCCGGCTTAGTTTTCTGTCTCTGACAGACTCAGGAAGCTTCTGTAGAAGAGAAAGAGGGACTGTTTCCTGCTCCCTCCACATAAGCTGCCCCAAGGTGGGCAGGGGGCTGGGAGCACACAGCGAGCTGCTCTTCTCAAACACCTAGAATGGCCAGGTGTGATCGCAGGAACAAGAACACACAAACACCAGGGAAGACACAGACCCAGAAATATGATGCCTGATGGCATTAGGTTTATTTTGTGGGAAGCAGAGTTTGGGGCTCTCGAAAGGCACTCGTGAGGCACAGAAGTAACGGCAGCCGTGAGACTAATGGTAGATGGTGTACTGCAGAGCCCCTCGCCGGCATCCCCCAGGGCCGGAGAGGAAACTCTATGAGACAGGAAACCAGAGTCCCAGGGCCCCACAGTGGCGGAGGGGTAAGGAGATAGTCTGCTTTTTTATACCAGTAATTCTGCTGCTTCTGGGCTTCCCTAAAGTCTGGCAGTCGCAGCTGGAGGCACAGGGCCCATCCACTTCTCTCCTGGATGGAGAAAATCATGCCAGAGGCTGGCCGCACAAGCCCCTGGGGGTTCTCTAGGACGAGCTCCGCCTGGCTTCAAGGTACAGAGGCTTCCTTCTCTCCTGTGGGAGAAGGTGGCCCCCTCCCCATTCTACCTCAGGCACACCTGTGTCTGTATGAGGCTCCATTACTGGAAGGGCCTAGGACATTCTTTTTTTTGCTCTGAATCCATCCTTCTGGGCAACTGATATCACGCAGGGGTGGGGTCAAGGGCAGCTCAGCATGAACCTGTAACTTACCCAGAAGGTGTGCCAGCAACTCCATCCGGTCAGAGCCAAACAGCATGTAGGTTTCATCATCCAGGTGGGCCACAGTGACAGGCAGCCCAAAGGCCTGGAGAAAGCAGTCGGCATGCAGGAAGGAGGGTGATGGAGCAGGTGGTTATTGGGCTGCCGTTGAAGGCTGCACGTCAATACTGGTCTGAGGTCACAGACACAAAGCAGCCAGAGGCGTCCGATAAGAGGCTCCGGGTCTCTAGGGAGAGTTTCGTGTCTCCTCTCTCATCATCTAGCTCCCTCCCTTCCTTTCCTGGGGTCCAGGGAAAGGGAGGGAGAGGGTGAGGGTGGCCTGGGAGAGCCAGGAGGGCTCACGGTTGGTGAGCAGCTTTTGGACAGGAGCATGGGGACCCTGTCTCAGCACTGAGGCTGGGGACACACAGAGTTGCTCACCCCGTATTTGCAGGCTGCATCAGTGGTCTCCTTGAGCTGGTTCTTCACCTGTGGTGTTGAGACCCTTTCCAGAAGTTCCCGGGCTCGTCCCGTGGACATGCCAGCCTTCTCTGCAGCCTGAAGGGATGGGGTAGGGAACACAACTGTGTCTGCATTAGTGGGGGAGGGGAATCTCAGGAAAAAACCGTTTTTTTAAATTTTGTGTCCCCACGTTATCCTGCCAATGCCTTTACCCAGCCATGAGTGGAGGTCTATCCTTGCCAACAGGGGCTGTTTTTCCCTTGAAAATCATGAGATGGGTGGAAAGAGTGGGTGGCAGAGGCATAGTTGCAGAAATTTAATGCCAGAGGGCATCTTAGAGACCAGCTTCCCAACCACTTTGTCAACAGATGAGCAAGTCCAGAAACGGTACATATCTTGGTCAGTGTTGAAGAGCTTGTTAGTAGCAGAGCCAATGCTAGAACCTGAGTCCCCTGACAGTAAGTCTGGGGCTCGTGCCTTCCTACTTCTTAGAACTCCTGAATCAAGGGCCGGGCTCTAATTCCTATAGAATTTCCTGAGGACTCTGGACAAGGCACACGGCTACAGCTATGAGTGTCTGGCTTCAAGAGAACGTTGAAGGCTTCAGTTTGGAGTTTGCTGGGATCGGTGGCTCTTCACTTTAGCTGCACATATGAGAATCTCCTGGGGGAGCTTTTGAAAATCCCAGTTTGCATGTCAACCCTGAGTACAAGTACATCGGAATTTCTGGGCGGTGGCGTGCAGGTGATTTTAATATACAGCCAGGGTTGACAACCACTGGGACCTGACCTCCACGACCTGGACTGGGAAATGCAAAGTCATCCATGACGTTGCTTTGACCACATGAGGGAATTGTGTTCTGACCAAGGGTTCAATAATAGGGCAGTGGTTAACTAAACAAATCCACTGAATGGAATGCTATGTGGAAACTAACAATTATACTCTCCAAGAGTTTTAAATGGCATGGAAAAGGACTGTTAAATATTAAGTGAAAAAGCAAGCCTATGTATAGACTTTGCAAGAATAAAAACATGAAGGATATATTGGCATGCTTTGTATGTTTAACTTGTGACTTGTCGTTTTATCTATTACATTTGAATATGCCTCAACTACCTTTGTAAACTTAAGGGAAAAAAAATATGGTGTTGAATTTTCTGATTCAATCCTGCAGAAACACTTACTTTTTATAGCCCTATCTATGGCTGGCACACATTTTAACGTTTTGAGCTATTTCCATTTTTCTCACTCAGGCTTCTGCGTAATTTTGGCTTGAGTCAGTTATCTCTTTTTGTCTTTTTTTTTTTTTTTTTTGCGGTACGTGGGCCTCTCACTCCCGTGGCCTCTCCCGTTGTGGAGCACAGGCTCCGGACATGCAGGCCTAGCAGCCATGGCTCACGGGCCCAGCCGCTCCACGGCACGTGGGATCTTCCCGGACCGGGGCACAAACCTGTGTCCCCTGCATTGGCAGGCAGACTCTCAACCACTGTGCCACCAGGGAAGCCCTCTTTTTGTCTTTTTAAAGCCTGTTTTTAAAGTCTCCTGGATGTGATGGTGAGGTCTGTGTTGGAGTCTTTGGGGCCAAGACTTGCCAGTACTTCACATCTGCAGGTGCCAACATTTAACACCTCTCTCCCACTGAATTCTTGCATCAAATACGTGCTACCCATGTAGAATGTTGCACTTCCTCTTTCAACCATGGGATAGTCTTTCGCGAGTCCTCTTACTTCCAACCCTTTAGTAATTTCGCCTATCAAAGATCCTTTCTCCCCTAACTATGACCTCTTCTACCCAATAACAAAACGATGTCCTCTTTGCCCCCGGATGTCAACTGTCCTCAGACTCCCCACGGGAGGAGTGGGGACACTCACGGCCAGGATGCTCTGGGGCTCCGTGATGTCTTCGTCCTGGAAAAAAGAGGACACTCAGTACAAGGTGAGGGGCGTGATGGAGGACACTAGGTCAGTGAACGATGGGGAAGGCAGGACCTGGACTGAGCCTAGGGCAGGGTCATCGAATCATCCAGGGTCTCCCTGCAAGTGGGTTCCCAGAGCCCCGCCCTCACCCGTGACCAGACGCGCATCCACAGTTCCCTGGACACTTTCTCCAGCAACTCCGGGTGCTCCAGTTTCACGATGGTGAGGAAGCGCATGGCTGTCAAACTTCCTGTGGGACAGAGGCACTCAGAGGTAGGGCTCCTCTAGCTTGTTTCCCCATGGAAGACCAGCTCTTTCCTGCTTCTGACACCCCCCAGTGCTCCAACGCCCTCAGGCTCCCACCCACGTTTCTGATAACCCGTTTGTCCTGCTCTCCCTCCCCTGACATCCTCAAACCTTCTGCTCCCTTAACTCTGATCCTGAGTTTTCCCAAGGCTTGTTTCACTTCATGGAATCACCCGAACCCCTCCTTTCTGGCCCTGCAATCTCCAAATCCACTCCTCTCTACTTGAGGCCCCATCTACATCCCATTCTCTTCACCTTTTTCAAAGATCACAAAGAAGAAATCCTTGGGTAAGTGGATGGGAACCTGGAGATACTGTCCCAGGAGCCTAACGTCATTTTTCACGTATAGGGCTTTGCGGGGAAGCAAAGCTGGCGGCTGGTTTCCTGCAAGCAGAAAGTTGGGCTCACTGGTGAGGGACGACCTAAGGGTCCCAGGACTGGGGGACCCCTACCGGGGCTTCAGGTAGAGGGCATGTTACTAGCTGCCGCCGCCAATATGAAGACCCAGTGGAGGGCCACTCCCCTGGGCCTTTGCAATCAGTCTTCCCTCAAATCCCTGCCGAAAACGCTGCTGCCTTCATACCGCTGTCTTTCATGATCCCTGCAATTAAGGTCGGGCGCAGCTGCAGGCTGACGTTCCAGATGTTCTTATACCGGCACAGGACCTGCAGGGCGGGGGCGAAGATAGAGAGTGAAAATGGCTGAGGGAGGGGAAGGGTGCTTCACGGCAGTCATCAGCCAGAAGCTATAGGCGCAGACAAGGGGTTATGAGGACGTCCTGAATTGTTTGGTTTGAAAGGGCAAAACCCTCTCCACTGCTAGAAATCGACCCCAGGACCTTTGCTCCTGTGGACAGTTTTTAATCTGTTCTTCACTCCACACACACCCCCACCAAACGGAAATCGGAGGGCTACGAAGAGGGCTTATATCCTGATTCTCTGAAGTTGATCATCTTCTTAACCACTGGGGGAAGCCCCTGCCTTAGGCTATAAGGGTTCGACCTGGAGCCAGCGATCGTATCCGGTTTACCAACAAATGACCTTCAGCCTGGCTCTCTATCTGCTTGTCCTAAACCGCGTCGGGCAGCGCCAGGACTTTCACGAGATTGCGGTCCCTACGCCCTTCGCTCGCCCTTCCCTCTGCCCTCGTCCTCCAAGCCCCGGCCGAAGCGGCTCCCCCGGCGTCACCTCGAAGGCCAGCCAGGAATAGGGGGACAGCACATCGTAGAAGAGTTCGAGAGTCCGCGGCAGCGGTCCCATGGTGCGGCTGGTCGCATGCGAAGCAACCGCGACCCCGGAAGCGCGCCGGCGGGTACTTCCTTCCTCCGGCGCGCGGTGGCCCCGCCCCGGCGCCCGGCGGCCCCGCCCCGGCGCCCGGCCTCCCCGGAGGACCGCCCCGCCCCGCCCCGCCCCGCCCCGGCCGCGCAGCCTCGCAGGGGAAACCCGCCCCCGGGACAGAGTCAGGTGGTTGGTCGGAGTGTGGGGGGCTACCCGAGGGCGGCCGTGGAGGGCGAGGGTGAGGGGCGTCCCCTGGGGAGCGCGCCGCTGTGGTGACCCGCTCACCTCGTGGTCACCGCCCTGCCCTGGGGTGGAGTGTGGGGCAAAGGGGCGTGGTTTGAGATGCGCTTGCCTCTTGCTTAGCTGTGCACCTCTGGCAAGCCTGTTGACCTCTCTGAACCACAGTATCCTCGTCCCTCGTAAAAATAGGCATAAAAATACGGGATATATAATGATAACCCTACCTATAGACTTGTGAGGAGTGAAAGAGTTCCTATTCACGTTAGTTATTAGTGTTAGTTGGCAGTTACAAGAACTTTCTGGGACTGGGGCAGAGTAAGAAGTGCCCCAATGATACTTTTGTTTGTTTGTTTTGTTTTTAATTTCTCAAGAGTTTAGGACGATGTCTGGAATATATTTGGTAACCAATACATATTGTGAGTGAGTGAAGGAAAGGAGACCTTATTGCAACGATAATTGGAGGGATAATGGGAATGGTCTTCCCTACTTTTACCGGTAAGTATGTCATGTTGTCTTATACTGGGATTACATTTAATGCAAAGAAACAGAACTTTCTAAGTTCCATTTAATTTTATTAAAATTATTTTTAATATTACTAATTTTATGAATTTTAAAACATAATAAACATTCCACTTCTCATTTGTGTGCGTTGGAAAAACAATCCTAGGCCTTCAGAATACAAGGACACAGTGGAAACCTTTACATAGAGTAAAACAAAGGAAATGGAATGAGAAATGAGGTTATCTTCACTCACTTTCACATTAAACTAATTTCTTGATGATCACTGAAACTAAAAAAATTATACTTTGTTTTCCTCCAGTAATACTGATATTAATTTAAAAGTATCCAAGAGCTAATTTAGTCCGGTAATAAGATTTTATTTTGAAAATACCTTTATATTTGGAAATAATTTTAGACTTACAGAAGAGTTGTAAAGGTAGTACAAAGAGTTTCTGCATATCCTTCAACCAGCTTCCCCTAATGTGAACATTTTACATAACCATGGTGTAACATCAAAACTGAGAAATTAACACTTAAAAATTAACTAGATTACAGGCTTCATACTGCACCCGTCTTTCCACTAATGATTTTTTCTGCTCCAGGAACCAGTTCAGGGTACCCCACAGCATTTAGATGTCATGTCTCTTTAGTCTCCTCTTTTTTTTTTCTTTTCCTCAAGTTTTTATTTATTTATTTATTTATGGCTGCTTTGGGTCTTCGTTGCTGCACACGGGCTTTGTCTAGTTGCAGCAAGCGGGGGCTACTCTTCCTTGCGGTGTGTGGGCTTCTCATTGCGGTGGCTTCTCTTGTTGAGGAGCATGGGCGCTTAGGGGCGTGGGCTTCAGTAGTTGTGGCTCACGGGCTTCAGTACTTGCGGCACGCAGGCTCAGTAGCTGTGGCGCATGGGCTTAGTTGCTCCTCGGCATGCAGGATCTTCCCGGACCAGTGATCTAACCCATGTCCCTGCGCTGGCAGGTGGATTCTTAACCACTGCGCCACCAGTCCTCTTATCTATGAAAGTGTTTTGACTTTTTCTTGTGTTTCGTGATCTTGACACTTTTGAAAAGTATTGGGCAAGTATTTTGTAGAGTGTCCCTCAATTTGGGTTTGGTGTTTTCTCATGCCAAGGCTGGGGTTATGGATTTGGGGGAAGTATACCACAGAGGTGAAGTGCTCTTCTGCACTCGAGTCAGGGGGATTCCAACATAAACATGATTTATTATCAGTGATGTTAACTTTGATCACTTGGTCACTGTTGATCAGTATTTCCCTCCTTTCCATGTTCTATTCTTTGGAAGGAAGTCACTAAGTGCAGCCCACTCTGGGGGGGTGGGGTTAGCGGTTGGGTAGATTAAACCCACCTTCTGGAGGGAAGAACATCAAAGAATCTGTGGACATATGTTAAAACCATCACAGTAATTAAGACATTTTTTGGGGGAGATACTTTGAGGCTTGCATAAGTCTTGTTCCTCCTTAAAGTTTCACCTACCAGTTTTATCATTTATCAGTAGAACTTGACTGCAGCAATGACTACTGTGGTGTTCTAATCGAGATTTTCTATTTCCCTCATTTCTTCTACATTTATTAATTAGAATTCTTCTGAAAGGAGAGTTGTCCCATTCACTCGTTCATTCATTTGGTGATTTATTTATATCACTGTGGACTCGTGGATATTTATTTTAAGAGTATAGAATGGTAAACATTGATCTGAGTCTCTATATCCTGCCTCATGCACCATTATCATTATGACTGTTATGAATTAGATTGGGCCCTGTCGTGGGTAATATGGAGTGTGAACAACAACAAAAACTATGTGCACTTCTGTGCAGAATGATCTGCACTTTGCTGAAAGGAGTGTCTTGGTACTGATTAGTTGGAACTAGAAATAGTGGTGTGAGTCAATGGTTTAAGGTAGCTAAAGTAACTAATAGTACTTAGTAACAGAGGAACTAAACATGATGTACTTAACAAGCTTTGGAGGAGGGAGAGAAAGGGTAGCGTATGGAAACTAAATCCCAGCTTTCGCACAAAAGTCAGTGAAATAGCATGCATTCAGAACACTTTAATCATGTAATTTCGAGTTGCCTATTTGAAACCAGAAATGCTTTGAATAAGTTGCTTTTTAAAACCAGTAAAAGATGGATTATTAAATGGTAGGGGACAACTGGTAATTTTAAACAAAATGTAACCGGGCCCATACCTCACACCTTACACAAGGAACGTCTCTAGATGGATCAAATATTTAATGTTAGAGAAAGAAACCAATAAAGTACCTGAGGAACTTAAGGGAAAAAACCTTTAAAAAAATTCTGGGAGTAGAAACAGCTTTGCTAACTAGTACCAAATGCAGAAGCCTTAGAAGAAAAGATTTATATATTCAATTACATAAATTTTTTTTTTTAAATCTGTTTGGCAAAATCCAGCAAGTCAAAAAATAACTGGGAAAAATATCTGGGTTCATTTCACAGTCAGAAAGGTAGTTATCCTAGTGTAGAAAGAGCTAAAACATCAGTAAAGTAAAAGAACAGAAGCCCAGTGGAAAAGCAGGCAAATGATATGAACAGAACATTCACAGAAATGGACAAATAGATTGCTGTAAAACACAAACCTGCTTGTATACACTTACAAAAACTGTGAGCTAAAATTACATTATGATATGTTTTCATCTATCAAGTTGGCAGAGATCAAAAAGGGTTATGACTCAGGTAGTTGGCAGGAATCCATGGAAAGTCATTGTCTTATGTAAGTGGTGGGAGTGTAAATCAGTACAACCTCTAAGCAGGGCAGTTTAGCAATATCTCTCTGTTTTAAAAATGCACACACCCTTTGACCTAGCAATTCCCTTTTTAAGAATTTATACTATAAACATGTTTACCTACATGATGTGCTGTGAGGTTATTCCAGCGTTGTTTGTTGTAACAAAAGATTGGAAAACTACCTAAAGCTTCATCCATGTGGGTCTAATTCAATACACCAATATTTATAATACTTTCAACTTTAAAAAGAATTTGGAAGCTCTTTATGTGTTAATATTGGATGATAGCCTGTATATTGAAAAGTGAAAGACAAGGTGTAAAACAGTGCAAATAACTTGCTATCTTTTTTGCAGGGTTTAAATACTCTCTAAGTGTGTGGATATGCACATACCCATATATGCTCATTGATACTGATAGATGGAGAGCTAAAAAACTGATAAAAACAGTTGCATTTGAGGAGAGAAGCCAGGTGACTGGGGGCAGGGCAAGAAGGAGACTTTTTGTTGTATATCATGTTTACTACTTTTTGATTTTTGACCCATGTGAGTATATTATCTACCCACTAAAGGAAGACAGGAAAGAAGGACAAAGAGAGGAAAGAAGGAAGAAAAATTAAAAAAGGAAGGAAGGAAGGTGCCTTTAGGAATTTGTACTGGCAGAAAGGGGGGGAGGGGATTTCAAGGAGATTTACTTATATGATTTATTAGCTTTTGTATATTTTACTTTGATTTAAGGAAAATGTCAGTTATGAACGCCATGTGGCAACACCTGTGACACAGTTTTAAGATATAATATTTTCCAAGATACAACTGAGTATTTACATCACTGGTTCTCAGCGCCTGACATTTTCCTAAGGAGATGCCAAGGGTGATGTGGAATTCTGTGTGCTAGCTTCCACACATAAGAAACCATCCCAAAATGCAAGAGACTCAAGTTGACATTATTATGGTTCTAATCTTGGAATATGCTGTGCTATATTAAAAGAGGTAAACCTTGGCAAACCAGGTTTTTTTTTTCCTGTGGTACACGGGCCTCTCGTTGTTGTGGCCTCTCCCGTTGCGGAGCACAGGCTCCGGACGCGCAGGCTCAGCGGCCATGGCTCCTGGGGCCAGCCGCTCCGCGGCATGTGGGATCTTCCCGGACCGGGGCACGAACCCGTGTCCCCTGCATCGGCAGGGGGCACGAACCCGTGTCCCCTGCATCGGCAGGCGGACTCTCAACCACTGCGCCACCAGGGAAGCCCCAAACCAGGTATTTTAAATACGATTAATAACAAATTTAGTTGGAACATCTTGTAGCTCATCAGGACATACCAGTGTGACAACATCGCAGCTGAGAACAGCTAATTTATGCTGTCATTATACCCTTGTAAAATACACACATATTGGACATAGGGACAAAACCAAAAAACAATGGAAAAAATGAAAATAGCTGTATTAGAGATTATACATAATTTTCTTAATTTCTAAGACTCCCTTTCAGGCTTTGATAATTTCTTTTTCTTCCCCCTTCTAAAACAGCTTTATTGAGGTATAACTGACAT